CAAAACTTGAAAAAATAGTACATTAGAGTACAAGGGCACAAATTTCGTTTTCAATGAATGTGTAGTTTACAGGCCGAGCCGAAGGCGAGGTCTGTACACACATTTGTTGAAAACGAAATTTATTACCGAGTGCTCTATAATATTTTATGTCAAGTCGTGCAGAAGTCGAGTTGTGAGCAGGCTGCGCGAAGCGCAGCGTGCGATAAACTCGACTTATTGCACGGCGCGACATAAAAAAAATTTTAACTTTTTTTCGTCACATCTCACAAGTTAATGAAGCAAAATAGATCCCAGACCAGAGGTTTTCATCGGAAATTTCTCTAATTTCTTTGTGAAATAATCCCCAACTCTCCACTTGTCCATGTTCTCCGGATATCGCAGAAAATCGGCCTGACACGTTACATTTTTTGTATTTGTTTGAATATTGTTTGCATTTTTTGTCGATAGTTTTTTCTAGTAAATGTGAAGAGGACATTGATGATAATAATGATGGTATAGATGCGCGTATTTTCTGGATAATTTCATATATTTGCTGTTTATTAAATTCCTGTAGGCTTCGATGGACATCTGCCTAAAGCGTTTAATAAATACTACTTGAAAATTGGCGTCGACATTTCAATTACCGAAAAGCACATCATGATAGGTGAGTTATCGTTCTGACAATGTTCTATTGTTATATACGATGTAGTCATTAACAGATAAACAATCGATTTCTCCCTCTTCAAAATTCAATTAACCTCGATTTTTAATCAGTCCAGGAACTAAATGACTTATATAAATTACACTCTCAGTTTCACGTTTATCAAGATTTTTTCTCGATATCTCACGATCCTGGGCAGTTAGAAAGTTCTTGATGTTATTTCAGTGCAAAACTGAGAAAATCGACCCAAAATTCATATTTTTAACGCTCTTGTCTCCCCAACATATTATAATATGACCAAAACAACTCGTCGCGCCACAAATCAATTCTTCGTCGTGTCCCGAAAGGAATGGAATAAAATAGATCAAACCCCAGGCGTTTTCATCAGAAATATTCCCCAGCTTCCTACTGAAATGATCCCTGACTCCCTATCTCTTCACGTTATCGAGATTTCTCCACAAATCAGTATTGTTACTATATTTTATTATTCTTAAAGTGGTTTCTAACTTTCCGATCCAAAGGAAGGAAGTTGTTGACCCAGAAAATGAAATGTGGAGTTTCAATGATTTATCCACGTTTCATGTAATAAGCGCTTGACTCATCCTGAAAGCCAATCAGTTGTATAGAAGAAGGAGGGAAACTATTTTTCTCACAGGAATATGTCTGCGTACTTATAAGACCATTCGTCGATATTCCTGACTTGGCATTCATTTTCATTTTTTTGTATTTTTAAAAAATTTCTACTTCCCAGTAAAAACCAAACGAAACATTTTCTTGAGGTAGTTTTTTTACAAAAAAAAATGTTTTTTTTAGGGAGATTTCATTATTTCTTTTCCAACTTAAGCAAGGAATCGTTTTTATACCCTGTAAATTGTTTTATTTTCAATTCAATTTAATTCATTCATTTTTCACATAATAGAACATCTTTCCAATTAACAAACAAAACGAAACAAGCAGTTCTGCTCCAGATTCATCATTTCCGCCCACTTTTAATCATTTATGCAAGATTTTCCGACTTAATTTGTTTCTTGCATTCATTTTTTCTTTAATTTTCTATGAGGACTGAATTCTTTTGAGATGAATTGATTTCCTTTCAGAAAGAGCAGAACAAAGTGTTTACTTGATAGAAGTTATAAAAATATCTGTTTCTGTTTGTTTTTGGAAGATATTACTAATTTTTTCGAAATAACTATAAAATTATTTTCGTGTTCTTCGCATCTCATCGTAATCTAATTTACATTCTCTGATATCACTCGAAAAGAATACATATTCTCGTTTAGCTATTCACGTACGCTTAATTCTTGATCACACAATTTTCGACGAATAGCAATTCTAAACTTCCAAACATGAGCTATAACCTCACAAACTATCTTTATCTCCTAGGTCCAGATAGAGATATGATGAGAAGAATTCGAATTTTCGGCGGAAGGGAAAAAATAAAACAATTTATTTTCTGTTTTAGTCTAACAAGCGATTTCAAGTGAGAAAAAAACGTTTTCCGCACTGACCTTCACTTTTCCTCGTCCGGAGATTGGTATTGGCCTTTCTCAAAACTCGTAAAAGTGAACATCACTACAGAAAAATATCGTTCACGACTAGTGCCATGGTGTTTTTTACTCGCGTGGTGGGCCAGTCCTCGTGTTCGGCTCGGACGCCAACTCCACGCGAGTAAAAACCCCATGGCTCTCGTCCTGAAATATACTATTCCCGTAGTTCTCTATAGCAACATCACAACCCACATTTTAATGCACTGGTGGCAACACCTCGACGTCGAATATGAGGCTCAGTTGGATCAAGACTGCCAAAGTAGTAACAAAAATCACCGAAAGTGAATATCACCCGTTGGTGTGCGCGTATCTTCTTTATTGTTAATCCAAATAATACTACAGGTGTACCACTGAAAAGCTCATGGGTGATTTATATAGTGTAACTAAGGACAGTTTTTCGATTTGTCTTGGCGTTCTTATAATATTGAATTGAGATTGTTTAGAGGGAGTGGAGGGGGAAGTTCTGTCGCGTATAGAATACGTCGGTGTTAAAAGTTTTCTTGGCCGATACGCTACCGCGTATCTCGATCTGAATAAGTGAGGTGATTGATGCATAGTATATTTTTTTATGTATCACTTTTGTACACTGTTGGAAATTTTTTGAAATTTAAGTAACAGATGCATTTGAATTTTCAATATTCGGAACTTGAATTCAATTTCTTTAACAATCCTAGAAACACCTGATTACATAAAATAATAATTCCTGAGAAAAACCTTGGGGGTCACATTTAATGGATCTCTCTGTAACCAGATTTAGATCCGCTGAAAACTAAAATTCGATTCCACTTCAACGAGAACTGGCATTGAATTATCTGTTGAGTGCATCCAGGATTACTCAAGGTCGGTATTAACGTCCGCAGGGCATTTAGAAACTAGTAACATTGTCCAGACGTAAATGTGCAACAACGTCCTCGAGAATCAGTGGGATTGCATCGATAAAATTACAAACGTAAAACATGCTAAAAACTGGAAAAATTGGGAATTCGAGAGCAGATAATGTTACATTATGTCCAACGGGAGATATACAGATGAATGACGATTAATTACGTATCATTACGTTATTGCGAGGAGAGCGAAGGATGTTACGGAGTCACTAACAGCAAAAGTGAATGGAGATTCCCATTGAGCATTGAAATTATATTAACATTCGTGCGGAATTCCGAATGAATGCCTCAGTTTTTCTTCCCTCTGTTCCATCGATTTTCAATGAAAATGGGATGAAAAAAACTGCGCGACGTGCCAAGTGGACACGTCTCGTATATGCGAATACATAGGTTGTAATTTTTTTATTGATTTGAATTTCAAATGTCAAAAAATAAAAATCCTAATCTTTACGCGTAAAAACAATTTGTTATTCGCTAGAAAAAAGGCGAAAAATGTTTTCTTCGCGTTTGAAAATGTCCAGAGTAAGTGGACCAATCAGACGAGGTCATCATGACTTATTAGCCAATGAAATTAATTAGTATAAATTGGAATTTTTCGGTTATTGTTCGAAACGAAAGAAATGCGCCATCGTCAACTCCATGCGATCGAATTTCAAAATTTTGAATTTGAGAGGACGATTTGATTTTCGCGAAGGGATGAGATTTTTTAGTTCTGAGATTTTTAGAGATGAGATTTTTTAATTCTGATCTGCGGAGGCTTAGGGATGAATGGGCGAGTGCGGAATCCCATGCTGATGGGGAAAACGTGCGGAAAAAGAGGCTGAATTGAATTAGTGATTGAATTACTCACCGTGAATCGATTCAATTATCTGAGCGAATGTATCCAGTGTTGCACACTCGGCGTCTAACCTCCCACAGAGACCCGACCCACGGAGATTATTTGACACAGACTCGGTTCAACAGCTGTTGGATGCTTCGTGGAAATACCGTGAGACGTCGGATATGGTATTGAAATTACGGGAATTACCGAGAGATGTCGCAATTTTTCAATTTAAAAATAAACAAGTGCATAATCGCGGTTTGTTTATAAATGAGTATAGTTATTTTTGCATATAAATTGGCAATTTGTCATTCTTATTTCACTGTTATCTTCTATTTTTTCATGTCAGTACTATCATCAGTTGAAATGTCATCAAAATTTTGTGTATTACTTCGATCTGCATCAACTGATTCTATTTACTTTTAGAGCCTCCAAGACTCGAATTCGTTTTCTATCCGGGTTTAATATAAGGGAAGACTAATATGAGTTTTAAGAGTCGCAGGCCATTAGAATGAGATTTCTCATACATTGAAGAACGATTATATATGTCTAGGAATAAATAATTAGTGGAAAGAAAAATTGTTTACTCTTCGTTTGCCCGGCAAGACCAATTTTTTAGCTACAGAGGTTTTTTTTTCAAAATTTTTGTTTTGCACACATTTGTTCAAAAATGTGTGCAATAACCATTGCGTATTAGTTTGTTGAGAAAAACAAACAGTGAGCATATTACAAAAAAATATCGATCGCTTTTCATTTTCTGAACGAAAATTGTGAAACGATTTTAATGTTTTAACATAAAAAATCCGAGTCGACTTTTTAACTTGTTTTCCAACATCAGAAGCCGGAAAGCATTGCAAATCGATTTTGTAAATAATTTATTGAATAATTTTCTTACAATTTTTTTGCATTTAAAAACTAGAGTGTGATTTTTTTTATAATTCCTGAAGTTCAAGATTTAAAATTATTACGGATTTCCAAAAGATCAAATATCTTAGAAAAAAAAATGATGTTGACTTTTTATGATAAAATGTTGAAAATTTTCCGAAATAAAAAAAGTTGAAAAAATCGCATGAATAATTCGTTTAAAAAAATTCATGAATTAAGAAAAATCACTGACATTTGTCGAGTTTTTATTATCAACATTATAGTTTACAGTGAAACAGGAAATATACAATCGAATAGTGCCGTTTTACAATGCAGCGGCTCTCGTAAAAGCTTTCCTTTGTTTTTTTTATCACTTACTATATTTACTTTACATTACAGTTAAAAAAATCGCAGAACTCCGTTAAATTTTTTTTCTCATTCGTATTAGTCGAAAATCGTTACTTCATCTTTTACTTTGTTTTGTTAGAGTTTTTACTTGCGACGGAAATTGGTTTTCATTCATGCGGTGGAAATCAGAGAGTGATGTATTCCCTGAGCTGCTGATCAATGTCGGGTTCTAGGGATGCGATCATTTGGTCGAATTGATGTTGGCTCATCTCCCTTCGGAGTGCGATCAGCTGTAAAGTCAACAAGAAAGTTAAATTTCACACTTAAAACACATCCTCCCATATATAAGAACAACCGGCAAATCTCAAGGGTTCAAAATGTTCTCATTGAAAAGTCAGGGAGATAACAAGATCATGTTAGCACCTTGCTTACAATTTCAGGATATAGAATAGCAAATTAGAAATTCAATGATACAAAAATGATTAAATTCCGATAATAGACTTTCAAATAGTGAACGTTAGAATTTTTCAATACTTCAGCCAATTACGTCGTGATTTTATGACGTTGTATGACTAGCGTCCTGTAAGCGGTGGGTATTCCTTTTCATATTAACTGTTGATAATCATTCGCAGTGCAAAAAGCAATACGACCGATGAAAATAATATGTCCCAATTTACAGTAAATTATTTACCCACGTTCTAATTCTTATGCGAACTCAATTAAGATCTTCATCATAATTAAAATTCAATTCCGTCTAAAACACACTTTAAAGTGTGAATTTCTGGAATTCAAGGTTGGTGGATAGGTTTGAGCATGAGTGATTTTTCCTGAAAAACTTGACGAGTTCGTTTGTAGGCAGGGAACTTCGAGGGAAATACCTGATTAATTTTGAAGCTCGAGTAGTATTCGGAAGAGAAATTTTCCATCCAATTTTTATAATATATACATGTCAACATGAAAAAAGTACCAGTGGAATTATCAAAGATAATAACAGTGGAAGAGTGTCATTCTATTAGCTGAAATCTGGATGAGAGCAATTCTCATCAGAATTTTCCTACTTCTACCAATTTTCATAGAACAATTGAACTGAAATTCATAGTTTCCATTGATTCTTCCATAAAATCTTGAATTTTCAACGACGAAATTCCTAGGAATTTCAGTGAAACTAAAACGCGTTGAATTTTCCAAGGAGTGAACCCGAAATTTCATTCTGAAATCTTCAGACATCATCATTCTCGTCTCTAGGCGCGTCAACTCCGTTACTCAATGAACGATAACTTGAAAACAGTTGAACGAAAAAAATTGGAATAAAATGCATTGGCTGCATTAAACTTTGAAATAAACTCTGTAAGAACTGTTTTTTTTTCTCATAATTTTCTAATTTTTGACATCAATTTCAATGTTTACCGACAATTGGTTGCCGAGATCTTCGAACATGCTAAATTTATTGATAAAAAACAAATTATTCAACAACTCGAAATTTAACTTCTGCCATTCGATAGAAGGATCATTGAAGTATTTTCAGTAAAAATTTCAAAATTTTTGGGGGAAATTTTGTCGATAAACGAGATGATTTAATGGTTGAATCGGTTCGATGTAAAATCGTCATTAACAACTTTTGTTCATAGAAGAAAATATTAGAAATGCATTGGAAATAAAATAAAATAGTTCACTGCAGAGACAATTCCATTGACTTTCCAAATATCTTTTCCAAATGTCAATATGTCTCTTAGAATTCGAGAAAATGACTTTTTACTGTTGACGGAAAGGGTCGGTACCATGCATTGAGCCCGGCTGATGGAACAAGCTTACGGGTCGATGCATGGTATCGACGCCGTACGTGAAGGGTTAATATTATAACGAACCCTGACTATCAAATCCCCAAATAATCAATAATTTACCTGATTTTCAAGTGTTTGCCTCAAACACACAGTATGCACAATATCCTCCATCTTCATCTTGTGCAGCTCCTTCCTAACCCTCCCCCCCTCCCTCTCATCCTCATAACTGTCCTCACTGGGTGATCGATTAACATAAACAAGACTATCCACCTCCGGTTTCGGATCATCCTCATTCCCCATAATATCATTGAGCCCATCCGTGAGAAACCCAATGATCCTCGGAAAATGTTGAAACACCACCACCGGACTATTCATATTAAGCAGCGAGCACAGAGCAAGTCCAACCAACTTAACATCCTCATACAACCTAAGACGATCAGTCAAGCAGACCTCAATGAGCCCTCCGAGCACGGTTTCACTAGTGGCATTACCCCCAAGTTCACTCGCGACTTCACTGACAACTTGTGAGAACACCTCCCTGGAGTTTAGAAGTACCCTCGCAAATATCTTGAGACTATTATCGAGAATCCTAGGGTTCTTATACTCTTCCATGACGTAAATAATATTAAAAGTCCTTGGTAAAAGGGGCCTAATGATATGTGGCCCTTCCTCAGGCAGAACCTTCAATATCTTCTCCAACAGATTAAAAATCAGCCTGAGATCCTCCTCCCTGAGATCCCCCATGATCCCTTTGATTCCCTCAACAATACTAGCACCGATTTCCCCGAGAAAGGTCTCAGGACTCAGCACCACGTAGTCCTGAATGACATAGACAGCCGGCTTGAGAGTCACCTGATCCAGCTCACCATCAAGGAGAGCCGGCATATTCCTGAGGAGATCGATAATCCCAGGAGTAACAGCTGGCGTATTCTCCAGCAAAGCCAACCACAGCTGTAGACCATCCTCAAGCAGATAGACATGAGCGTCCTGATTCATATCACAGCTCAGAGCAATCATGCCAACGATAACCGGCTCTAGTATGACACTCTCAGGTCCCAAAGCTTTCTCATAATGTACAAGCGTCGAGATGATGGCACACCTCAACATGTTGTGATCCTCCGATATCTGCCACAATGATGGCAGATAATTCGTGAAAGCTGCAAGATGCGGCTTGATGTGCTCGCCGATCCTCTCGATCATAAACGATATAACGTAGAGCACCTGCATCTTGGTATCGCATTCGGTGGCTTCCCTCAACAAATTGAACAAGAGAGTAAACGATGTTTCTAGGTAAGGCCCAAAGTCCGCGCGGTCGAATTGCCAGTCGTCCAGAGCTCGTTTGAGAGTGTCACTAGCCTCGATCCTCACTACTAGATCCTCCTCAGGACCCAGAGCCTCCGTCATCATCTTGTAAAACTCCGGCCTCAAGTCCCCACTGAACTTGACCCCTATCCACTTGCCAATCAGCCAACAAACCCGTCTCTTGACGATTCTGTAGTTACTGTTGGTGACTTTCATCTCCTGTTTCAAAGTCGTTGAAAACCACGTGTCGAAGTCGACGTCGTCATAGAGATCGGAAGCTGCGAGGCCGATGGCGTGGTACACAGCGTCCTTCAAGAGCATGCCGTGAAAGTCATTGGGATCCACTGGCTGATGATACCTCTGCATTAGTTCCACTAGAATAGAGACGAGGTGCTTTCGAAATTGAGGAAAGAAGGAGAGGAAGAGGGTTTCCACGCAGGGGCGAAGGCTGTATTTCCAGGAGTCTCTGGAGTCGTCAACTGCGTAGTTCTCAGGATCTGTGGTCCAGAGCTCGAGATCGGACGGGGTCAGTAGGAAGTATCTGGTAACCAGCCAGGAGCTGATTTCCTTTAGAATCTCCGGGGTGAAAAACTCTTCCTTGAGCTGCTCTCCTCGAAAGGCTAAGCGGTCCTTCGGGCCGTCCCGGTCTTTGTACTGAATTATCCCACGGAGACGTTGGATCATGTAATCCGGTTTAATGAGGATGTCCTTCATCATGTTGAGACACTGGATGACGAACTTCTCGAAGACGAAGGGCTGTCCGGCTTCTGTGAAGCAGTAGAAGACTGAGAATTCTAGGGACACGGGGATGAGCTCGACGTAGCAGGTTGGGTGACGTTCCAGTGCTCCCAGCATTACTTTCGTCAATTGAATTATGAATTTCTCGCAGGAGGTGACTTGCATCTCTCGACACATCATGGTTTTTCTACACTCCAGGGCAGCTTTTGCTCGGGAGAATGTGACTTTTAGGAACATCATGGCATCTTCTGATTTTGAGAGGTTTGGGAAACCGTTGACGAGGAGATTTCGCAGGATTCGGAGGAGGAGGAGAGCCTTCTCGAGGGCTTCTAATATCTGGGACTCGTCGGCACCCTGGGAGACGAGGATCAGGAAGGACTCCGTGAAGGTGTTCCAGAGGTTTAGGATGAAGTTGAACATGTTGGTGGTTAGTTGATCGAAGAGTTGTTTGTCGGCGGGGAGGCGCTTTGAGGCCAGGGTTTTCACGACGTGGTGGAGGATCAGGAGGGCACGGTGTTGGGCTATTGAGTTTTGGGAACCGATTACGTCGATCAGGGTGGGGATCAGGCTGTCCCATTCTCGGGGGCAGTCTAGGCGCGCGATTTTACCGATTACTACGGCTAGGTGGGTGGCTAATTGGTTCACTGGCTCCTCAAAGCTCGAGAGGAGACTCCTGCGTAGGAACTCCTTCTCGTCTTCAGCGATTGCACTGGAAATTCAAAGGAGAGAGGTGATCGTAGATTTTTCGGAGCACATGAAACATTTTAACAGCGAAGCGGTAAAACGGTTCAAGTCAATTTCGACTCACGGTCAGTTGTCAGTGAATATCTCGAAATTCAAGACAGATAGCAAAATTTTTGTTATAATCTTGTTTGAAGCCCAACGGCCTAGCGCAGTGGGTAAGTTCGTTGCCTCACGTGCGCAAGGTTCCGAGTTCAAAACCCGGTCGGGTAGAATGGGGAGATCTTATCATTTTTAAAGTCTTGATCGTTATCGTAATATACTCAACCGAGTCGAAGCGATGTAAAATAACAATAAAAAAAACTTGTTTGAAACGTAGTTATATATCTATCAGTCAAACGGTCGGTCCTATCGACAATCTTCGAGCACCATCGGGAACCTTCGGTTGAGCGGTCAGAGGATCGCGAAACCCCCGAAAAGTAGTAGCAATTTAGCAATTGAGAAGACCACATGTGAAAGTACATCACCTTCTCAAGTTCAGTGAATTATCAAAGACAATTATCAAAAGCATTCAACATTAATATTTTGAGACACTCAACAACCTAGTTCAAACCAAAGTGTAAATATAACAGTTAACAAAGTGGTTCGATTCTACTAAATATAGTGACGTTTTTACGGAATTATTGTCCTAATTAATTTCCGGCCTATCCTGGAACAACACCTCCCACATCCACCCTAAATTTACATCCTCACCAAACGAACCTTTTTTGTAGCTCTCAATTCGCTGTAGAAAAATGTCATTACACAAATTTCGCTATCTTCCATAGATTTGGAGATATTCCTCGAAAACTCAGCTAAGAGCTCGCTTAACCGCTTCGCTACTGATTTTATGTTAGCTCAGTTATCATCACCGCCAGGAAAGAATGATCTTGAATGTGTGGTGGGGGACGTCGAGTCAAAGCTAAATTCGAGAGAGTGGGGGTACCCAACCCCGATCATTTTTTTGCGGTGAGGACTATACCATTGTCATTAAGGTATATCCCAAGACAATACTACCTACAAGTTGTCGATAACGGTATGGACTTCCTGGGACACCGATTTGGTGTCAAAATCAACATCGAATTTTTTTACTGTTTACAGTGCGCTCTCCTCAAGGTGAAACGTAACCCTTGTGTTTATAGGAACTTTTAGAATTGTGTTTTCTCCTGCAATTATAATTTTTTATTTATGCAACTACTTCATTGACTCAACAATACAATGATTGAGTCGATAAAGTAGTTTCATAGATAAAAATTAATAATTGTAGGGGAAAACACAATTCTAAAAGTTTATATAGACACAGGGGTTCCATTTCCCCTTAATTCCCACAGCTTGGGGGGTGTCCCAGACACCATTTCATATGGAATGCGAGTAAAAGGGAGACCCCCACTCCGCCAGTTCAGGCGGTATTAGAAAAGGGAAAGCTGGGAATAGTGGGGAGGATCGTGGCAGTGGGAGAAAAGGAACATAACCTTATGGGGGGAGGATTTTGAGGGGAGTAGCGTGCGAATTATGGAATGGGAGAATAAAGGAGAGTCCACTGTATGAAGAAATCCAGGCCAGAAAAGTACGTGCTGGAAATTTTCGTCTCAACTTTTTTCTGAACAGATGGATATTGGAAAAAAATTTTGAAAAAAAAATTCAAAAATGTTCATAATTGAGGGACTTATAATTTTATGAAATTTCTAGTTTTTTCCTTTTTTTTTGTTCCAAATTGATCCCAATATTTGAGCAGGGTTTCAAGCTATCAAATCACCCTTTGACACACTCAAAGAACATGAAAAATTCAAGTAAGGTCAGGGGATATTGGAGAAATAATTACGACGTGCGACGTTTCGCTGAATTATTTTGGCCTCATTAGGCTCTTGACGGCAATTTACGCCTCGATAAAATATTTCTATTAATATTAGTGTTGGAGCGTGTAATATGCAAACAAATGAACAAAAACATGTAAATAAACACAATGTCAGTCAGCAGAAACACAGGATTAATCAAACGCAAGACAACACTCTAATATTAGTAGAAACAGTTTGACTACGCCGTTAGGAGCCTGATGAAGCTAAAATAATTTGGCATAACATCGCACTGTGACAATGTAATCAACGTTGTAATTATGTCTCCGATATCCCCTGATCTTTCCGAAATTAATGAATCTGTCTTTTGGATAACATCGACATTCATTCATTCCTGTGGGAGATCTCAGATGAAGACACATCGTTCTTGTATTATCTCTCACAATTAATTAATTAATAAACCGCCCCAATCATTTAATCAATTTGTGTGTGTTGTGACTCATTTCGCTGAACATAACAATATCATGGAGATGAGGACAATCATTAACACGAAACATCCTTCAAAATGAGACGTCATACATAGCATTATCTTCAGTTTGACGGGGTTTATACGAGAAAACGTTTTTCTTTCAATCGTTAATTACTCCGCAACTTAATTTTACAAAATCTGAAATTTTAATAAAAAATTGTCAATAAAGCAACAAGAATTTTGGCGCCAGTTAGAGTGAGATAAGGATTGAAAATGACCGAAAATCGCTGCTATTATTCATCTTCGCTATGATTTTCTGAGTGAAAATTTATTTCTCTAATTATACGAAGGAAATAAATGAATAATAGAAGATATAATGAGTCTAATCTCCACCATTTTCTAATATTTAATTGAATCTTCACTTATTGGGGGGATAACTGCATGAATAATAGCAATTTTCCGTCATTTTCAATACTTGTCACACTCAAAAAAAAAGAGAAAGACAAACTCAAATTGGCGCCAAAATATTTGTCATTTTATTGACAATTTTAGGTGAAAAGATCAAATTTTTAAACAATTAAGTTAATAGTAATTAACAATTGAAAAAGAAGATGACTCTCATAAGACGCTGTACAAATGATATTTTTAATCATTTTTTTTACAAAAAACTGAGCAGTTGATTGTGTTCGGACTCTTTGCTGCATATTTCTGGCTATTTCAAGAATTTTTCTTCAAAATTGCACATTTTTTGAACGTTGCCGACTGTTCCCATATAACTGACTGAGGAAGTACCTTACGAACATCGTAAGAACCGTTTTCTCATAAGATGGAAAAATCGAGTTCGGGGGGACCCATAACCCTTCGTTTGGCATTCATTATTTAGTGTCTCCTAAACTGTGTAGGGTGAACAGGCCAATTGCTGGATGGTCAAGAGAAATTCGAGTTTCGTGGTAGGATTCTAAAATAAAAGAATCACCTAAATGAGGCTTCCATACCTTCAAAAATGATTTAATTAGCAGAAAAAAATTATTTGAACTGAAAATAACAAAGCAAAGAATAATTAAATTAAGAAATAGTTGAATGCAGCCGAAACCCCCAGTTTCTGGATGACTGGGCCATATTTTTTTTGCTTATCAAATGTCGATCAATAGAAAAAATAAGTGATCACATGATTATACACGAGTAATATTATTGAAAGGTGAAATAATCAGTACAATTTTCATTTTATTTATGGAAACTAATTCCAATCCAGAGATTCACCTGTTTACCCTAGTACAGCTAGATAGTATTTTTTACATAGCTGGGGGCTATTATGAACATTATCTAAAAACATGGGGACAATCTCAAGAAAAACGTATTTTCTAGGGATATACCTTAAGTCTAACTGCTGTATCAAGGATACAGCTGCTGTCTTCAACTGAAATCTCTCATTCCTTCTAATAAACCAAAGTTTAACATTGCAACGGTCACCCTCCCCAAAAAGTCCATAAATCTAAAATTCTTACTTTGGAGCATTCTTCCGCCAATATCTATCCACTCCATTCTTAAAACAGAGCACTGCCATCCACCTGACATTCACCGATAGCGAGTAGTTGGAGAAGACATTCTGAAAACCAGACACATCATCTTCCCCTTGTGCTCCAAAGCTCTTTACAATTCGGAGTAATCAATGAATAATTACATGGTAGGCAGAAAAAATAGACTGGAAAAAAATAGCCCAAAAGATGTTAAGAGGAAATGGAAGTGCCTATATGAACTTTTAGAATTGTATTTCCCCTACAATTATTAATTTTCATCTATGAAACTGCTTTATCGACTTGATCATTGCATTGTTGAGTCGATGAAGTTGTTTCATAAATGAAAAATAATAATTGCAAAGGAAAACACCATTCTAAAAGTTCATATAGACACAGGGATTCTGTTTCCCCTCAAAACCCATCCAAACGTAAAAATTTACTTTAGCCTATTTTTTCAATGGTCTATTTTTTCGGGGATTCATAATTACATAAAGTGCTGTATAAAATCCTCTCTGCGTCTCCCACTCGCTGAGCATCTGCTCAGCCGGCTTGAAGACATTCTGATCTTGACTGCTCGCCTGTTGGAGGACTTCAATCACAGCCGCGTTCATGGCTCTCCCGGTAGCAGCTTTGTCATCGAGCGGGGGAGGGTTATCAGCACTTTTAAACCCCTAAAACCACATTGACCCCCTGAAACCATCAACAAACACCCGATTAATCACCTTAATTCATCTGAGAGCATCCCACCCACATTGTCTAAACAAACAGAGCAAAACCCCTTGAAAAATAAATCTCTAATTATTTTTTAGATCACAAAATAGTCGAAATAGTCCCTCTGTGGGAGCTGTATGGATCAATTTTTTTTTTTTAAATCACTGGACTCTTGGGTAATTATGAAAAAATATTGTACGAACGTCGGAATAATTTCCTAACCTCCAACATCCCGAAAGTGCGCTGATAAGACCCATACCCATTACCTTTCGATACCGCAATGTCTCAACGACACTTGTCCCTCATCAAATTTCTCTCCCCTATGTATCCAATCAATACATAAAAAATAAGAGATTGTTACAGGCACTTGGGCACTTTATTCTTTACGAAAAATTTATGTTACACTTTTTATCGCAGCCAAATACACCCGGACGTCGGCATTTTAGTGAAATGTAACGTTTTCGACTTTCGACCTGCTACTCCGGCGTGTGCGTGTCGAGAGTGGAGAGAGAGAGAGAGGGGGAGGGAGAGAGAGAGAGAGAGAGAGAGAGAGAGAGAGAGAGAGAGAGAGAGAGAACTGTTTTTTCGGGGCACTTTCAACCCGGCGCAACTGCGTATTTTGTTTACCAGTGGTTTTTGGGGGTTTGTTGGGAGTCGCTGGAAGGAGGGATTGGACGTTTTAAATAGATAGAAATGAGTTCATTGATTTATTTGTTTTGAATTATTAGGGTTGGTGATTTGGACCGATCGAAGTACAAATTAATTTTGATTTTTGGGAATTTCAGGATTTAAAATATTTTTGAATTCGTTAAAAAATTTGCATTGTTGATTTTTTTTATGAATTATATTTTTATTTTTATTTGTACGTAAGTTGATTTTTTGGAGCGAAAAAGTTTTTTTTTCTTAATTTTTTATTTTTGAGACAAAGAGATAAGTCGATTTCACTGTAGGTTTGAGCGTCGTTTTGTGAATTTTGTTTAGGGTGAGAGAGGGGTACAAAGTCAAGGGAATTTTCAAGATCGATAGAAATTAATTTATTAATTCATTTGTTTCGAAATATAGGGCTTGAGGATTTGGAGCAAAGTGAAATTTTTTAAAAGTTCACTTTGATTTTTTAGGATTTAAGAATTGGGGATATTTTTGAGTCAATTGAAAAATCATTTTCAATTTTTTATACAAGCTGAATTTTTAGAGCGAATAGTTATTTCTTTAATTTTATATTTTTGAGAAAAAGGAAGAATGTGATTGTATTGGAGATTGCTGTTTGGAGCGGTTCAGGGGGAGAGGTGTAGAAAATTAAAGAGATCTCAAAATAGATGGAAATGAGTTCATTGATTCATTTGTTTTGCATTCAGTAGCGAAGTGGTAAAACGGTTTAAGTCAACTTATCTCCCAGTTGAGTTTTTAAGGAATATTTTCGAATCTAAGGGAGATAGCGGAATTTTAGTGATTACATTTGTTGTAGCTCTCAATTGGCTCTACAAAAAAGGTTATAACAAAAATTTTGCGATCTTCCTTTGATTCCGAGATATTCTTTGAAAACTGGTCAATAGTCACAATTGACTTGTACCGTTTTACTATTTCGCTACTGAATTCTAGCGGAGATTGAGAATTTGGAGCGAAGTGAATCTTTTCGGCAGTTCAATTTTTATTTTTGAGAATTTTAAAGTTGACAATATTTTTGAGTTAATTCCTAAATGAGCAGTTATTAATGTTTGTCCGTGAATTAAATTTTGTTTGTTTTTTCAATTCCTACATTATTTTAATTTTTTAAGTGAAGAGATTTTTTTTCATAATTCAATATTATTGATTATAAAAATTAGTTCTTATAATAGGTGTGAATGATTTTATTAATGAAGTGAACAGGGAAAATGAGTTGATTTTACTTTCAGAGTAGTTTTTCCAAAAGATCACGAAATTCAAGAGATATAAAATTTTAGTCAAGCTTTCACTGACATGCCTATCAATAACTCGATGTCAACGGGAGTCCACTCACCTCATTTCATAACAGAAGCGGTTGCATAATTTCAGGTGAGTGCAAACCCAGAGGTTTTCATGGGTTTTTCGAATATTTTTATGCAATGAAAATATGAAATTGATGGAAATAAATTGATTTCGAATTGAACGTATGGAATCCGAGTCGATTCATCTCATTTCTTAATAATCTAATTCACCCGGAAATGATTTTTTTTTGACAGTTCAAAAGAGTTTTTTTTGTAGAGAATTTCAAAATATACTAAAAAGGTTTTTTGATAGTTTCTCCTCAAACTATTTATTATCGAGATAATTGCATAAATAAGACAAACGTCATCCTCAATTTTCCTTATCCCTCACACCATATAAAAAAAATAACCCATCCATGTAATTTCACAATTTTTATGATTAAATATTCTACATGAATTGTTTTGAGAGATAAATGCAATTTTCCAAGTCATAAAAATCATGATTTTCATGTTGACAATCTAAAATCATTTGAAAAGATTTACTCCCCCGCGGGAATTCGCGACTTCCGGTCTTCCCGCACCCTACAGGCCGATCCTTCAACTCGAGCTCTTTCTTTTTCATGGCTCGTGGCACTGTTTAGATCGTGTCGCGATGAAGGTACGAATCTGTCCATAATTTTTCAATCCCAAATCTGTAAATTACGATTAAACTCGCAATCGAAAGAGGAAATTCCACGGGTTAATTTCACGTGTATATTGTTGGTTCAATTATCTCTATGACGTTCGAAAATTGCGTTCGAAAGTCAGGTGTCAACCGCCGCCTCCTTCGACACATGATTCGGAGTTCAACAGTTTTCACAAAAAAAATAAAAATATTTACTAAATTCTGTGGCTATAATCAAGTGTCAAGTACTTCAAAAACATGATAAAAAATTATTTTTAGAGTTGTTTGAGTTGATAAACAATGCGTACATTTCCTAACCTCAAAATTTGAGCTTGGGCATCAAGTTAAAATTGATAATTCAGTGAATAATGAAGTGATAAAACAGGATAGATCAACTTTGCGATGAGTTTTTGGTGAATATGCCTGAATCTGATAGAGATAGCGGAATTTTCATCTAGACCTTTTTTGTAGCTCTGAATCTCCTCTACAAAAAGGTCTAAATGAAAAAGGTCCTGATGAAAACTTGGCCATCTCCCTTAGATCCCGAGATATTCTCCAAAAACTGATGAAGGAGGTGAGGTACAATGGACTTTATTAAAACGTCGATATCTTCTGACCAAATGATGCAATTGGGGTAAATCAGCTCTCCTTTTGAAGCCTGAAAAAATCCCTGGAGAATGAAAAAAAATTGTTGAATTCCACTCTGCCGATCTTGAGCTATTGACCATTAAGAACGGTTCATTTTACCCTCCTCTCCCCTAAACAGCTGAAAAAGTGAAATTGATTTATTTTGGCTTGCCAGCTCATCATTCCAGTGTAAAATAGTATTGAGGGCAATTATTAACGTGTATCGATTTCAGTTGAACGTGTCATACCCGGCTACAGGATGCCAAAAGCTCATCGAAATCACCGATGAGCACAAGCTCAGAGTCTTCTACGAGAAGCGCATGGGCGCTGAAGTGGAAGCCGATTCACTTGGAGATGAGTGGAAGGGCTACGTTGTTCGTGTGGCTGGTGGCAATGACAAACAGGGATTCCCCATGAAGCAGGGTGTCCTCACCAACAGTAAGTCCTGATCCATAATTTGTTTCAAAGAGAACAAAAAATTTTTTTCATTAATTGTCAAATAATGATTGAAAGAAAATGTATTCAGATCGAAGACTTAATCACATGTCCGAAAAAATTTTATAGAAAAACCTTGCGTTTAGCTAGAAAATTCTGTTGTATTTTATTGAATAGAATAGAATTTATTTCATTGATGCTACTTTTACAGTTTTACATCTGCACATGCCTTGTATATACTTCCACCAACTTATCGAGATAGAATATATTTGTATTTTATTGATTTTATTGGGACTTTTGCAGCTTTTTTGCGCGTCTTTTTCAATAGAAAATAAATCCTATACGAGCCCATGTATAAGAAAAAAGTTGTTTATTTAATTTTGTCAAAGCTACTGCAGGTAATCAATAATTTTCTTAATTATCAGGAATGTTGGTTTGATGTGTTCCCCTAACAGCCTGAGAAATTACCGAATTTTCCTCGGACCTTTCCTTTATTCATGACAAAATTCACAAAATTCAATTGATCCCTTATAAGAAAATATCGAAAAAAAATTAAGAAAAACGCCCACATGCATACTTAAATTTGATACATACAAAACTTAAAGTAGTTCTAACCTTAGGAGGTTATATTTCAATTCAAAGATTTTTAAAAACTACAACAAATCGCCTAAAAACTCTGTGTGATTCGGAATCGTAATTTTTTTCCTCATTTAATTGTCGTTCAAGTTTTTATAAATGAAAATGTTGAAAATTCATTATTTAACACAGGGTCTTATGTGAAGAACGCTAAATTTGACACAGCTCCGGTTAAAACAAAGATTAAAATCTAATTTTTTTTTCCTAAAAACGAGAAAAAAATAATGAAAAATATTGGCACCTGTTAGATAACGATTTATCGTTTAGTTTTTTTTATTATTAACAATTTCCAACCAGAATCACGGGAGACTGTGAACAGGAGTAGACGTGGCAACGACGGCTCGGTCAGCTGTCACTTGGCGGAACCTCTCTCACCTCTCACCCGTCACATTATCCTGTTGCCACCAATTTTTCCAAGCTAGTCAATTGAAAATCTATTTCTTCACACTTTTATTCAAAACAATTAATAACTAAATAATTCTTATGCTTATGTCCTTTATAAATTATTTTAATAATTTAGACATCAAAAAAATTATTTTTAGAATCTTTTTTTTTCAAAAGCACTCAACGACTCCAGCCGTAGGGGTAGAGCTACTTTAAATTTGAGCGATTACAGAGCTTTCATTCGGAAGCAAAAAATATTTCTAAAACTGTAAAAGTAATACTCATGGTCGCAAGCAATATTCAAGTGCTTCATTTCATCTTGGGGCCATTCATGTTTATATGAGAAAGCAAGCTGGACTTGTAGAGCTGGAGAATTGTGGTTTTTCATACGCCACTTCTTTAGTCGGCCAACTCTAATTTCATTTTTTTTCATTCTTCTTTTGTAATTGAAAAAAAATTATAACACTTGTAAAGACTTTCGAAGCTATGATTGTGCTATCTTATGCCCCAAAATAATATTGTAATATTGGACAATAATTTATTTCAAAAGTGAAGAAGTTGAACGATGAATTGAGTTCAACATGCTTTACTCATTGTTTTATTGGATCAACGTTCATTTGCAACACTGTTTACCAATGTCGTATCGTGAAACGCTTAATTATTATATAAGCTGGACTAATATTCGGGAGTTCAGTCGTCAACGTAAATCAAGCTTAATACTCATTTTATATTATCATTGTAAATTTCGTCATATTCATCACTTCTGGATAATTATGAGTTAGTTTGACTAAATAAAACACCTATTTTTCTACCAAGTAAAATACCGAATTCCACTATAAACCCACTGTAGGGAAATTTATCTCCAGGAAGCAGAACCCACGGATTCATCTCTAACATTGTAAAGTTATAAGATCAATTATCAATGAAAAGAGTTTATTAAATAAATGGGGCGAAAAGAATGATTAAAAGATATAAAAAGAAGAAAAGACATGTCCGCAGACTAGGAAATCAGATAAAAAGATATCGAGAACGAAAGAGACGATCGTACATGAAGTTGTTGGTTGAGAGGAGAGAAAAGACCAAGTACGCAACAATGTCAAACTAATTTGTAATATTCTGCTGTTATCTAGGCCGTGTTCGTCTGCTGCTCTCCAAGGGCCACTCATGCTACAGACCACGCCGTACTGGTGAACGTAAACGTAAATCAGTTCGTGGATGCATCGTCGATGCCAATCTCTCAGTCTTGGCTCTGATTGTTGTCAAGAAGGGAGAACAGGTCGGTTCAATATTCAAATATTTTACTCTTGAATAACTATTATTAAACTTTCACGTTCGACATTAATTATTTTACAAATTTCTTTGAAACTAAAGGTTGAAATGTTTTAGAATTCTAGTAGAGACTTTTAATGACTACATAAAAAATATTTGACATTTCTAGATCTGCTAGTTCTCAAGATGTTTGCAAGATAGATTCAGTGGAAGAAAAATGATTACTTAAGGATGTTTATCCAAAACGACAAGCAAAATTGCGATTTTTTTCAATTGATAAGCAGAATTGTCACAATGTAGGCGTTAGCATGAGCCTGTCGAATCATAAAAAAGCTGGATTTTCCAAAAATGGATAAACATCTTTCATATTTACCATGCACACAGGCAGTGTCCATGTGTTTATTTATATCTTGGAGACGTTCATGTTCATGGAAAAGCAAATTGCGTTTATAGATTTGGAGAATTGTGGTTATCCATACGTTATTTCTTCAGTGTACGAACTCTACATAAGGTTTTTCATTTCTCAAACCTGGAATTAATGAATAATAATAAATTCCAAAGTCTTTTTTAGATAATACAGTCATGAAAACGTTTTTTCTCTTGTTCATGGTACAGGAAATTCCTGGACTCACAGACAAAAACCTGCCACGTCGTCTGGGACCCAAGAGAGCTGGACGCATTCGCAAGCTCTTCAACCTGACCAAGGAAGATGATCTTCGTGAATTCGTTGTCAAACGGCCAATCCAGAAGGAGGGAAAGAAGGAGCGCTTCAAGGCCCCCAAGATCCAACGTCTCATCACTCCTATCACCCTCCAGGTAATTTAAACTAGCCTTCATTATTTATCAACCAATTTTATTTTATAAATTTATTTTATAATTCCAAAACAATAATTAATTCATAAAAAAAAAATCGAAGCTTAAAACGTAAATTTTATTGTAATGGGAAAACTGGGGGGGGGGGATAACAATTACTGGCCATATATCTCGTAAATTATTTTTTTGACAATTGAACAATGGAAAACTGATGGGGAACTAATCAATTAATCAATCAATTTTGTATATTGTAGAATTATCTCATTGTTGAGTTATAAATGACAGATGAATCTCGAATAGTCACCATGCACACAGGCAGTGTCCAAGTATTCAATTTTATCTTGGAGACGTTCATGTTCATGGGAAAGTAAATTGCATTTTATGATTTGGAGAATTGTGGTTGTCAATGCACTATTTCTTCAGTGTACGAACTCTACAGAATATGATAATTCTTTGAACTTTACATAAATTAGAACCGACTCTCTGTAAAGTCAATCGATTCTGTCGATTGTTGAATGATCTATTTATTGCGGGATTCTAGATAAAAAATGTGAAGAAATCTTTTGTGCCAAATGTCTTACAAAAAAATTTCACGTGACATTTCCTCATAAAATGCCTAGTAATCAATTTGTTCAACAATTAACAACTGACGAGTAGAAAATGGTAAAATCAATCAATCATTGACTTATCTCTTTTTGATGAGTGAATTTCAGTAAACGTAAAAAAATTGCTTGAAGGGAAAAAATCACTTAACAATTTTATGTGAAATGCTTCATGACTGAATTATTTTAAGAATTGATTTTGTCAGTTATCTAATTATCTACAACAAATTCTGAAAAGAAATTATTAATGTTCTCCAGGATGTTGTTCAAAACAATCAATTTACGTAATTCTGAGAACACGGTTTTAAATTTTTTTTTACCGGAACGTCTATGAAAATCTTAGAAAAATTTCACACGCATGAACGACCCAATGGTGGGGACGGGGGGAGGGGGCTAACGAATTGTGTTGGCCTCCCATTTCCTTCAGAAGGCTATGCAAGCATCTTTGTCATTTTGTTCAATTTTTAATGAGAGTTTTAATGATTTTTTCAGCGCAAGAGACACAGGATAGCTCTCAAGAAGAGGCGTTGCCTTGCCCGCAAGGAGCAGGCCGCCGAGTACGCAAAACTCTTGGCCCAGAGGCAGAAGGAGGCTAAAGTGAGGCGTGCTGAGGAAGTGAAACGAAAGCGCAGTGCATCCATGCGCGACTCCAAATCCTCCAACCAGTCAGCACCTACCGCAAAATAAACAACAATTGCGAAGATGTATTAAGATCAATAATAACGCTCGTACGTTGATAAATAGTTGTTTTTTTAATTCTCCAATTATTTAGCGTCATTTGTAGAAAACAAGAAAATTAAAAAGACAAAAATTGAATGTTTGACGATGGATATCTCAAAAATTCGCGTGGAAAAAGTACTTGAAATTTTGGGAGTCGTTTTTACATGTCCTCAACAACATATGTGGACATCCGCATGAAAAGGGACCACTTTGGCACTATTAGAGTTATGTATATGCCGATAATCTTGATCTGATTCTGCAAATTTAGAGCCAAAAATGAACTTGATAGCGTAAAGAGTGACGACGCTATAGACGATCGAAAAAATAATTTAACATGGGTTTAAATGGGAGTTGGCAAGAGAAAAACGTGAATATCTCGGAAAATAGAATCGACAAAGTGGTCCCTTTTCATGCGGACGTCCACATATGATCCAAATTTTAGGTCTTCAGTTCATTGCGAAATTTTCACCAAGTATAACTCACTGAGAAAGTACCTTAAGAGGATATGGAATTTACTATCGGAATAGAAACTGGATTCTAAGTTTGTTCATCGTCAGACGACTATTCAGTAAAATTCAAATTCTTACACTATAGATACCAGCCCGGTGGTTTGGCGCAGTGGGTAAGTTCGTTGCCTCACATGCGAAAGGTTCCGAGTTCAAATCCCGGCCGGGTAGAATGGTGCAATCTAACCATTCAAAGTCTTGATCATCGCAGTATACCCCAACCAGGTCGAAGCGATGTAAAACAACGATAACAAAAAACTATAGATACTAAGATTATTAATGATATAAAAATTTAGGTTTTGCTAAATAGTCGTTTGACGACGAAAAAACTTTGAATCCAATTTCTACTCCGATGGTAAGTTCCATTGCCTCTTAATATAATAATTAACGATAATTTTGCTTTATGGAGGGAGGTGCTGAATGGGAAGCCCCATACATCTATGTGAATATCTATATAATAATATATGAGACCACTCAAAGAGGTTTCAATTCATTTTTCGTACTGACCTTCACTTTTCCTCGTCCGGGGATTGGTATTGGCCCTTCCCGAAACTAGTAAAAGTGAAAGTCACTACGGAAATGTGTGTGATGTCCCGACATTGACTCTAGAGATGGCGCTATAGATCGTTTGATTAAGTCCGCGAAATTCCAATCAGGTTTGAATAATTCAAATTATTAGACGTAATCCGGAGTTGAGAATTGAGGGAGAATAGTACAATGAACAAGGGAAAGCAATAACTTTCAAGCGAGAATAAACTGTTGATGGAATTTTAGACTCGAGTGTTTGGGTCTGCGATTTGTTAGAATATTTTATAGCTCTCCAAATTCTCGTGGAGTAAACACTTTTTCTAGGTGTCAAATTTAGGGTCGAATTTATTGGACAGTTACGGTCCTCACTCGTCACGATCTCGAGTTCTGTTTGTATCAACAGTTTTACGGCCTCACGTGCGCAACACGTGTGGTGCCTTTTGTTCATTGTGTTCCCCTGGTTGAGGGCCTAGAGTCCCTCCAAGAGNATCACGATCTCGAGTTCTGTTTGTACCAACAGTTTTACGGCCTCACGTGCGCAACACGTGTGGTGCCTTTTGTTCATTGTGTTCCCCTGGTTGAGGGCCTAGAGTCCCTCCAAGAGGAAAACCTGCGACGCAAAATACTCCCCTTTTCTCCTTTTCCGCTTCTCCGTTTTCTCTTTTCCCTTTCCTCAGG